TAGAATGACGTCAATGTAGTTGACGTCATTCTAAAAATAGCCGCCCCAAATGACCAGGTATACTACTAAGGAAAAGTATTTTTTGTCGCGAAATCGAGTGGACCGCTTTTAGGGAGACTACCTCTTAAGTCCTTACACGAAGTTCATGGTACGTACCACTTTTATCACAATAAACTGATCTAAGCGTTCCGGCTATCAGATTTTCCAGGAAAGTGCCATACCGTCTGAAAATAAGTTAATTATGGCAAAATAAAAGATTAGTAAATCTTAAGCTTTGCTAATGTTGGTATTAATGTTTTTCAGTATCATCAGGACCCCTATCTTCCTAGATACTCTTTTAGATAGTTCGTCTAAGTGGCTAGTAAACTTGAGATGCTCATCAAAAGTGATCCCTAGTAGCTTTATTCCTGGACCACTTTCTACGTATTGTCGAGGACTTTGATTTTCATTAATTTATTTGTGCCTCTGCCCTAAACTTATCGATTGAAATTTGTCAGGATTACATTTCAACAACTTGAGTTGGTACCAATTTGAGATTTGCCTTCCCTCGTCCGTCAAAGTTCTTTGCTCATCTTCCATCGTTTCACCATACGTTTGATGGTCATCTGCGAACATATTGATGCTACGTTTGTAGACCAGTTAGTTCTGGAAAGCATTCCACAAGAGCGGTCCAAAATTTGAGCCTTCAGGGCATCCTCTTAGCATTGCTTTCCATTCGCTCGAAGAACACTATTTGTTGTTTCTGAGAAGTACCACCTTAACAGACCGATAGCTGTGTCGGAGAAGCCATATAGCAGCGGGTGTAGTGAATAGAAGGCTTTGATAAGCCCGTTGATAATACTCCGACTACCTTTTGTCATCCAATGACCTTTTCTAGTCCTCTGCTAGTTTCAGTAGTGTTGTCTGGCAGCTGTTTTTTTTGCAGTAGGTGGTTAAATTATTATTCATATAGTGCTTGATGTATTGTGTTACCTCACTGGCAAGTAACTGTTCAAACACTTTTTCCTCTGTTTTCGGTACCGTAATTGGTCTATAGTTCTTCATATCTTGGTGTTCATCTTTTTGGAAGGCTGGGACCCAGACTCCTCTTTTCCGTTCCTTTGGCCAGCATTCGTTTTCAATACATCTGTTAATGATGGTGCCAATTCATTACTTGCCCGTCGTAACAGTTTCGGAGATATTTTATCATGCCCTGTACTTTTATTTGGTTTTGAGCTGCAAGATATTCTTTTACCTCGCTCTCTTAATTGAAATGTTGGGCCGTTGACAATTCTCTTCCTACTCCGAGTGTCCATCACACTTTTAGGGTCCTCTAGTTCCTCTTCAGTGAGAAATAGTATCCTCGAGACTGCAACGTAGTTAGCCACGTTGGCAAAGTAGTCAACCCAGAGATTTGCAACCTCAGTTTGATTTTTTATGTCTTGACCATCAACTTCTAAGTTAATTTGAGTATCATCTGTAGCAGACGACTTGGAGTCCAAGGAGGGTTAGAAAACTGAGTAGAATTCCTTTGCGATTAGTGTTAACCGATTCTGTTTTATCCCAGTAGCCCTTTATTGCTTTTCTCCCAAGTTTAGTTGCGTGGTTTCTCCAGAATTTCTTCAATTTCAATTCTCTCTTGTCGGTTCCTTTGCATATTTCTTCAAATATTTATGTTTCTGTCTAATTGCTTTCTTCCAATCAGCTGACATGTACAGAACATTTTTAGCTCTTACTCTCATTCTTTCAATAGTGAGTCACATGTTCGAATTAGAGTATTGGTCGTCCACAGTAACAAGAATGTCTGCGACCTGCCATGGTGCAGAGTTAAGATCTGGTAAGAATTTATCGACATCCAGAATTTTGAAGCTCCCGAATGATATTAATTTTCTTGGATGGTGTATGCCATTTGCTTTCATGATGCCATAAACCATAGCACGGTCACTAATACAGGATCGTGTACATCACTCTCCCGAAACAGTTGAAGCTTATTGGTCATGATAATGAGTGGCTTGTTTTACGTATTCTTGCAGGCATATTTATGAGGCATGACAGACCGTGTACGTTCTCAAGATCCTTTAATATTTTTCCCTCTGCTCAATCTCAAGTCTTTATTTTAACACGGTAAAAATTCATCAGGTTGGTACAATATAAAATAAAAATAAATAATAATATTAATAACAATAAATACGTATCTAAAGAGTCTCTTCAGTAAAAGTACTACTCATAATTACACTAAACTAGGCCTGTTTTCCATGACTGCCGTGTATCTAACTTAATGAACTAAAGTGAAGTTTTGACAATTGCTTAAAACGTTTTAGAGATTTCACTTGCCTTAGGTTGCAGGGTAGACTGTTCCAGAAAGTTGCACCTCTATAGATAGTAAAGCTCCTTTTAGGTAGTTCTTGGTAAAGGGACATTTAATTTGTTTGAAGAGTCCCTTAAGACATAGCTCAGCAAACATAGAGGATAAGTAGTCAGGAGTCAGATCACTAAGAGCTTTGAACACAATGAAAGCTACTTGAATTTAACGCTGGACAATCAGGTCTTTCCAACAAAGTTGTTGTAGCCTGTATCCAGCGTCAGCATCATAGGAGGAGGAAAACAAGATATGAGCAGCACGATTGTGCAGTTTTGTAATTTTCCCGAGAGCGTTTTGCCGCAATTCCCCCAGACAGCACAACGGTAATCGAAATGGGGTTGTACTAAGGCATTGTACACATGATGTAGTATATCTGGCGAAACAAAAGATCTAATTAGCCTTATGGCGCCAATGCTGGGGCATTTGATAGTTTGTCTATATGACTATGGCATCGATGCCTACAACAGCACGGCGTACCATCTGTTTTCAAATCCGATACAACTCTAGTGCGACCTCAGGACCCTGTGGATCCACGAAAACAAGATGGAGTAGTGAATAAGATTCCTTGTGAATGCATCAAAGTATACTTTGTCTGGATGTTTTTTTTAGTGAGATACCCTTTGAAACCAAACTCCGGAGACAGTTTACGATAAACATAAATGAGGCTGTGATCACTAATTTCAACATGCAAAACTCCTGAACAGACTACCTTGTTCATGCAGTTTGAAAAATATTACATCAATTAACGACGATGATGATTCAGTAATACGACTTGGTTCTGTTATAAGTTGCTATAGCCCATATATATCAGAAATTTCACAAAGTAAACGTGTATTAGAATCGAACTGGGTAGAGGCCATATTGCAATTCAAGTCACCCATCAGACAGTATTCAAGACCGAGAGAGTCTAATTTTCCGAGAAGAGTGCGAGAAGAGTTCGACCGAAGAGAAGGGTGGCCTATAGCAAGGTAGTACGAGAAATAGCTTAAAGCATGGTTTTTGAATTTCTAAACACAAATTTTCAAGATCATTCAGGTTCAAGTCACGGCGTATTACAAAGTTAATAGAAGTTTTAATATAAAAGCATACACCGTCACCATTCCTATTTGACCTATTTCTGTTCACACGAGTAATTTCGTAACCAGGGATGTACAGCTCGCAATTTTTTATAGATTCATGGAGTTTAGATTCATAATTTGCAAGGACATCGATTGGATTATGAGCAAGAAAAATTCTGAGATCATCAATATGTTTAAGGACACTATTTTAAAACTGCGTTTTGCGGGTAGCGAATTAGACAAATAAGAGATTTCAGAAGCCGCTATTGGGCTTACACTTGAGTCAAAACTAGTATTGCCTTGAGAAATATATGGCGGCTCTACTGATACAGGAGATTCGGCTTTCAAGGAACCAGGAGATCATATTCTTTAAAAAATTTGCAAAACTACTATGTAATGAGTCGTTACCTTCCCTGTTCAGATGTAATCCACCTTTGTTGAGCCCCTTCCCGGTAATGTTAGCGCGACTTATCAGTTTCTATCAGTTTTGCCTACAGAACTGCTTCCGCCGACGGTTAACAGTTTTCACAGCATCACTGCGACCATCATTCCGAGTTGTTAGCTCGGATAAAACAATTTCGGCGTGACAAGAATTCTCCATGTGCCCCACCGCTTTGCCCAGCTTTATTTGCCCTGCAAATTTTTAATGATGGAGTCACCTACAATTACTTTGATCCGATCATTCTTTGACTTGGTCGGGGATGATGTGGCTTCCGCGGTTGATCCGGCAGGCGGTATATACTTCATGGTGGAAAGCCACAAGTGTGTAATATGTAGTATTGTGTCTTCCCCTAATAGCTAGTGGTAGTTACTGGTAGTTACTTGTAGTTAGTAATAGTTACTAGTAGTTAGTAATAGTTATTACTAGTTACTGGTAGTTACTAATAGTTGTCGATAGTTATTAGTAGTTACTAGTAGTTAGTAGTAGTTGTCGGTAGTTACTAGTATTTACTGGTAGTTACTAGTAGTTGTCGGTAGTTACTAGTAGTTACAAGTAGTTGATGGTAGTTATTGGTATTTACTAGTGGTTACTGGTAGTTACTGGTAGTTACTAGTAGCTGCTGTTAGTTACTAGTAGTTGCTGGTAGTTACTAGTAGTTACTAGCAGTTATCGGTGGTTCCTAGTAGTTACTGGTAGTGACTGGTAGTTATTAGTAGTTACTAGTAGTTACTGGTAGTTATTAGTACTTACTAGTAGTTGATGGTAGTTATTGGTATTTACTAGTAGTTACTGGTAGTTACTAGCAGTTGCTGGTAGTTACAAGTAGTTGTCGGTAGTTACTAGTGATTACTAGTAGTTGGTGGTAGTTATTGATAGTTACTAGAGGTTACTGGTAGTTACTGGTAGTTACTAGTAGTTGGTGGTAGTTACTGGTAGTTCTCGGTAGTTGCTAGTAGTTACTGGTAGTTGCAAGAAGTTATCGGTACTTAGTAGTGGTTACTGGTAGTTACTAGTAGTTGTCGGTTGTTACTAGTAGTTACTAGTAGTCGTCGGTAGTTAGTAGTAGTTACTAGTAATTACTAGTAGTAGTCGGTAGTTTCTAGTAGTTGCTAGTATTGACTGGTAGTTACTAGTAGTTGTCGGTAGTTACTAGTAGCTGATGCTAGTTATTGGTATTTACTACTACTTACTGGTAGTTACTAGTAGTTGCTGGTGGTTACTGGTAGTTCCTAGCAATTATCGGCTGGTAGTTACTAGTAGTTGCTGGTAGTTACTAGTAGTTTCTAGTAGTTATCGGTATTTACTAGTAGTCACTGGTAGTTACTGGTAGTTACAAGTAGTAGTTGTCGGTAGTTTTCAGTAGTTACTGGTAGTTAGTAGTAGTTCTCGGTAGTTACTAGTAGTTGTCGCTAGTTACGAGTAGTTACTGGTAGTTGGTGGTAGTTATTGGTAGTTACTAGTAGTTAGTGGTGGTTATCAGTAGTTACTGGTAGTTACTAGTAGTTGCCGGTAGTTACTAGTAGTTACTGGTAGTTGGAGGTAGTCATTGGTAAATACTAGTAGTTAGTGGTAGTTATCAGTAGTTACTGGTAGTTACTAGTAGTTGTCGGTAGTTTCTAGTAGTTGCTAGTATTTCCTGGTAGGTACTAGTAGTTACTGGTAGTTGATGGTAGTTATTGGTATTTACTAGTAGTTACTGGTAGTTACTAGTAGTTGCTGGTAGTTACTAGTAGTTGTCGGTAGTTACTAGTGGTTACTAGTAGTTGGTGGTAGTTATTGGCAGTTACTATGAGGGTTACTGGTAGTTACTAGTAGTTGCTGGTAGTTACTTGTAGTTGGTGGTAGTTACTGGTGGTTGTCGGTAGTTGCTAGTAGTCACTGGTAGTTGCTAGTAGTTGTCGGTAGTTACTAGTAGTTGTCGGTAGTTAATAGTAGTTACTAGTAGTTGCTAATAGTTGTCGGTAGTTACTAGTAGTTACTGGTAGTTACTAGTAGTTATCGATAGTTTCTAGTAGTTGGTAGTATTTACTGGTAGTTACTAGTAGTTACTGGTAGTTGATGGTAGTTATTGGTATTTTCTAGTAGTCACTGGTAGTTACTAGTAGTTACTGGTAGTTATTAGTAGTTGTCGGTAGCTGCTTGTAGTTAACGGTAGTTACTAGTAGTTGGCTCATGTATTCCATTTAACTACTAGTAACTACAAGTAAATACTAGTAACTACTAGTAACTACCGACAACTACCATGAAACTACCACGAACTACTAGTAACTACCAAAAAATTCTAGTAACTACTAGTAGCTACTAGTAACTACTAGTAACTACCAATAACTATCACCAACTACTAGTAATCACTAGTAACTACCGACAACTACTAGTAACTACCAGTAACTACTAATAACTACTACTAACTACTAGTAAATACCAAGAACTACCATTAACTACTAGTAACTACCAGTAACTACCGACAACTACTAATAATTACCAGTAACTACTAGTAACTACCGAGAACTACCAGTAACTACCACCAACTACTAGTAACTACCAGAAAATACTAGCAACTACTGGCAACTACTAGTAACTACCCGTAAATACTAGTAACTACTAGTAACTACCGACAACTACTAGTAACTACCAGTAACTACTAATAACTACAGACAACTACTAGTAACTACCGGTAACTACCAGTAACTACCAGTAACTACTAGTAACTACCAGTAACTACTAGTAACTACCGATAACTACTAGGAACTACTAGTAACTACCAGCAACTACTAGTAGCTACCAGTAACTACTAATAACTACCACTAACTACTAGTAAATACCAAGAACTACTATAAACTACTAGTAACTACTAGTAACTACTAACAACTACTAGTAACTACCAATAACTACAAGTAACTACCAGTAACTACTAGTAACTACCGATAACTACTAGGAACTACTAGTAACTACCAGCAACTACTAGTAGCTACCAGTAACTACTAATAACTACCACTAACTACTAGTAAATACCAAGAACTACTATAAACTACCAGTAACTACTAGTAACTACTAACAACTACTAGTAACTACCAATAAGTACAAGTAACTACCAGTAACTACTAGTAACTACCGATAACTACCACCAACTACTAGTAACCACTACTAACTACGGACAACTACAAGTAACTACCAGTAACTACTAGTAACTACCGATAACTACTAGGAACTACTAGTAACTACCAGCAACTACTAGTAGCTACCAGTAACTACTAATAACTACCACTAACTACTAGTAAATACCAAGAACTACTATAAACTACCAGTAACTACTAGTAACTACTAACGTTTACTAGTAACTACCAATAACTACAAGTAACTACCAGTAACTACTAGTAACTACCGACAACTACCGACAACTACCAGTAACTACTAGTAACTACAGGTAACTACAAGTAACTACCAGTAACTTCTAGGAACTACTAGTAACTACCAGCAACTACTGGTAACTATCACTAACTACTAGTAACTACCAATAACTACCACCAATTACCAGTAACTACTAGTAACTACCGAGAACTACTCCTAACTACCAGTAACTACTAATAACTACCGACAATTACTAGTAACTACCAGTAACTACTAGTAACTACGGATAAGTACTAGGAACTACTAGTAACTACCAGTAACTACTAATAAATACCAATAACTACCATCAACTACTAGTAACTACCATCAAGTACTAGAAACTACCGACAACTACTAATAAGTACCAGTAACTACCAGTAACTACTAGTAACCACCAGTAACTACTAGTAACTACCGATAACTACTAGGAACTGCTAGTAACTACCATCAACTACTAGCAACTACCGACAACTACTAGTAACTACCGAAAACTACTACTAGCTACCAGAAACTACTAATAACTACCGACAACTACTAGTAACTACCAGTAACTACCAGTAACTGCTAGTAACTACCGATAACTACTAGGAACTACTAGTAACCACCAGCAAGTACTAGTAACTACCAGCAACTAATTGTAACTACCAGTAAGTACTAGTAAATACCAATAACTACCGACAACTACTAGTAACTACCAGTAAATACTAGCGACTACTAGAAACTACCGACAACTACTAGTAACTACAAGTAACTGCCGACAACTACTAGTAACTACCGAGAACTACTACTAACTACCAGTAACAACTAATATCTACCGACAACTACTAGTAACTACCAGTAACTACTAGTAACTACCGATAACTACTAGGAACTACTAGTATCCACCAGCAACTACTAGTAACTACCAGTAAGTACTATTAAATACTAATAACTACCATCAACTACTAGTAACTACTAGTAACTACCGACAACTACTAGTAACTACTAGTAAATACTAGCAACTACTAGAAACTACCGACAACTACTAGTAACTACTAGTAACTACCGACAACTACTAGTAACTACTAATAACTACCAGTAACTACTAGTAACTACTGGTAACTAGAAGTAACTACTAGTAACTATTACTAGCTATTAGGAAGAATACACAATACTACATGTTACACAGAGTGTATATTACCGGTGCACTTCTGGTTTTCCACCATGAAGTATATACCCGGCAGGCATTGTCCTCGTTTGTTGTTTTGAGTGTTTTCGTTGTTGCGTGACTCTATTTGAATTCGACTTTTTTTGACCTTGGCCTTGACCTTGCTTATTATGCAAATGTACAGAGCTGTCATTGTTAGTATCACTTGCAATATTCTTCCCTTCTTCTTTATATGCAGGCTGACTTTCTTTGTTTAGGAGTCTAATCCCAGTCATTAAACTTTACTTTCGTCACTGAGAGTTCTAGCCTTTTCTCTCACCCTTTCGTAGCGAAATTCAAGTTCTTGAAGCGTTATGTTGTGTAGATTATTTCTGCACTTTCCAGAAGTTAATAGGAAAACAAGGAACAACATAAGCAACAAATCATGGAGAATATTGGATATGGCCTGAGTGCAACGCCATAACCCACTTTAATTATACCCAAAAGAGAAAACACTACAGCAAATGAAATAAAACTAAAAGCTACATGCAAGTGTGCCAGAGTGGCCAGAAAAAACCTGTCACAAAAAACCCTGTTGGGAAAAAAGCACAGGAAATCTGGGGCGGGCCAGGCGCAACTTACGTCCCCCGCCAGGACTCTAAACAAATTACTCAGAACTGCAATAGACAAAAGCAGAACTTCTAATATATAAAACCATTACACGTGTACACTGGAAAATATACTAAAACTTGTATACACCTGGACTGGTTGTGACTTAGATAAGGCTAAGCGCTAACAATTACACGCAAACTGTGGAAAATATACTGAAATATATCTATATCTCTAAATCAAATTACTCGGAACTGCAATAGACAAAAGCAGAACTTCCAATATATAAAACAATTACACGTGTACACTGGAAAATATACGAACACTTGTATACACCTGGACTGAAAGTGACTTAGATAAGGCTAAGCTCTAACAATTACACGCAAATTTTTGGAAAATGTACTGAAATATATCTATATCTCTATGAAATACACCTGGACTGAAAGTGACCTAGATACGGAGAGCTCGTTAACACCATGCCGCAAATGCCTATGCCGGCTTAGTCGGCCCGCACCTCCAACCGGCGTGGATATCCGACAAATCACGAGCTGTTCTCCTACAAGTTGGATTGGGCGCCGCGTCAGACTCGCGCTCACTTGTGGGTGCGGTACTTACTTAGAAACATCACTAACTAATGGCTTAATATGCCTCTTAAACTCCTCTCCCAAATAACGCCTGTGAATAAAGAAACACTTGCACTAGGATGAAAGTATAAAATACCGTACTCCTAAGATTGAGCTTGGACAATTATACGAACTAGTGGAAACGCAGGGGAGGTTTGAGGCGAGAACTTAATAAAACACTAGGTCTCAGCTACGGGACAAGGCCTCAGAGTTCAAAATAGATCTACTTCGCGCTTGCATGGACACATAAATCGACATAAAACTATTACATGTATGTATTTTAGATGGAAAATATTGCGATTTAGAGGCAAAATCTGCAGCAATCGCCTGACAAAACTAACAGAAGGCAGCTACTTAGGCTGAACTGGTTGCGCAAGCCTAGCTTCTTTTGGCGTCTACTAATTTAAAGGGAAACTTAAGCAAGGCGTGGCTAACAGAACAGACTTAAATACCAGCCACTTCATCGCCCCAATTTATACTGTAAACAGCAGGTTCTAAATAAGATGCGCCAGTGTTATCCACAGAACGCTAAGCTAACTTAGATAGATACAATGAGACATGCAAAGGTTTTTCGAATAGCAGAAACACCAGTCTTCGATAAAGCCCACTCACGCCACCACAATAAGCCAGACCCGTATCTTCAAGACTGTGGATGGAACGTTAGCATTCAACTGCAAAACAGACAGGCCTGGAACTGTATCCCTCAGCGAAGAATTAGTCAAGGGGGCTGTTTCAAGCCATAACCTGGAATTTAGGTCAACTGAAATAAAAGGAAATAGCGTAAAAATAAAAGAACTACAATGTTCTTGACTTAACTGAAGAAAAAACATTGAACAAGGGAGGCGCTAAGCAAAATATTCGCGCAAAGAAGAATTGAAAAAATTATATTACAGGCCCAAAACGAGCCGACACCAAAATGACTTGAAACCTGCCCAATCAGGCTCAAAAATAAGCTAAAGCAGGCTCATAGATATGCCAAATCAGGCTCAGATTATGCCAAATCAGGCTCACATGCCGCACTAATGTGCCAAACCGGGCATACAAGGCCAGACCAGGCTCAAATCAGGCGAACACTACCAGACACACTGGAAAGAAGATCCAGTTATCCTTTCTACTCCAGTCTTGGACAAAGGCATCGGACACACCTACAACGAGGAGAAGCAAACTAGGGGTCAAAACGCGGAAGCTGAACGCTCTATAATAGGATGTGAAACGGTTTAGATTCGTGCGAGGACCCCATTTGGCTTCAACGACTCGAAACACATAGGGATCAACTGGCGAATCATTCTCGTTAATGAAACGGCGCAAAAGATCAGCCTTCCCAGTGAGCGATCTAGGAATTCACTAGGCTTCCAAG